AGTAAAGGAGCAATTGATTCTTACTGATCAGTTGATGTATTTCATCCAAGTACTTGCCATGCAGTTCATTTATCTAGGCAACCTCATTATCAGGTACCTCCTGAGAAATAATCCCAATTAACAGATTTAACAATATGTGCTGAGTATTTGCCCCATGCCAAGCCCTGAGTGGGTGCTGGAGACTTGGCCATTTGTAGGATGTGGTCTTTGCCCAGGAGGAGTGACACCCGATCTGGGGGTATTTTGTGGGCACTGCAGGAACCCTGGCCTTAGTCTCCCAGAGTTGGTGGAAGGCGTTGACGGTGGTGTATTAGCAGTGTTGGGAGAACAATGAGCAGGGACAAATTAAACAGTGGGGGGAGGGGGCAGGCTTTCAATTCTCCCAAGAGGAAGTGATTTTCATGTTGCAGTGGGGGAGGGAAAAGGCATGATCCTAATTACACCACCATAGAGATGTGCTGTGTAGGCTCCATCCTGGGCTTGACTGGCTGAGGCGCCATCTTGGACGTGCCCACTCCAGGATGGTGGCCCTTCCATGCTCACAGAGCTGGGGCGTTGGGGCCCCCATGTTTGTGGTGCTACTTCAGCCTCCCTGAGCCTCTGGCTTAGCTCTCTTATCTCAGAAAGGCATTTTATTCTTCGAGCCCAGGCAGCCAGGACCCAAGGAGCTGTTTTTCCTCCATTGTGCAAGCATGACAAATCATTAATTTTTGATTGATTTGCTTAGAATTATGGGCGCCCCAGCATTCTTTCCGCCGCTGAACAGCTGTATAACAAATGAATATATCAGTGTGCACAAAAGATTGGAGATCTAAGAGAAGCAATTACATTGGCCACCCTCCCCCACCCTCACCCCTTCCCGGGCAATGAAGGGAGGAAATTTTTACCAGAAATTCCTCAAGTGGCTTAAAAAAAAAAAAATGCCTTTTTTTATAATTGAATTAAATCTTTATCTCTTTATCTTTTACAGCAGATTTCCAAACACACATCGGTTCCCCACATGCTTGGGTTCTATCCATCCAGGAGGAATCTTTTATTATGAAATTTTAAGTCGTTATTTAAATCCAAAATGGTTAATTACATAAAATCTTTCCTCCCCCTTTTTTTTTTTTTTTTTTCTTTTTTTTGGTTGCTGCTATTCCTTTAAGATTTTGGAACCGTACCAGTGCACTAAATGTGACCTCCATAACTTTTAAATTAAGAATTTATGCTGGCTTGAAATTTATGAAATATTTCAGCATGAAAGAAAGCCTTTTTCCCTCAGGAAAATTGAGCAATAAATCACAGCACTGTGGATTTACTGCCCTAGAGCCAGCGAGAGATAGGATTTTTTTTTTTTTTGCTTCATTCTGAAAAAAAAAAAATGTAATCATATAAGACAGCTTAGCTGCTGTCCTCCCACTCTCTAGAATTTTTAATTTCAGCTGTTTCTGCTTGGATTTATTTCCAATATTCCTGCTCGGCTTTTCAATTTCCTCAGTTATTAAATTTTAATTCAGTGCATTAGCATTTAAATTAAAAAAGGGTTTATTTTATCGAAATCGTTGGCCAGCCCCCATCCCGTAGCACACGAATTGCCTGTTTCTGCCATTTGCACAAAATGTGAAATGCAGCTAATGTCTTACAACTTACATTTGCACAAATTTAGAAATAAAATTTCTGGGTTTGGAATAATATTTTCTTTCCAAGAAAACCCTTAATAAGAGAATGGAAAAGAACAACTTAACATTCATTTGGGAGGGAAAAGGAAGGTCGAATGAAACCAAAAATAGCCATGCCCAGGTGCTGCGGGGAAGCTGGTGGAGAGGGAATAGGTGGGGTAGGAATGGGGGTGGGCACTCGGATGGGGGCTGGAGGGCTTGGGGTCCACGGCCACCAGCCATGGGAGAGTGAGAAAGAGGGGCCCCGTGGGTCATCTGCCCTCCATCTTTCATTTGCCATAGAGGGGTCTTTTAAGGTTGGGTCAGCTCAACATGGAGGGGCAGAGAAGGGAGGCTCTGATCCAGCCCTCTGCCCCGCTCCTGTTTTCACCAGCAAAGACCCTCAGCTCCAGAGAAAGAGGTTCAGAGGGAGACCCAGAGTGAATGAGGGCAAGAAGCTGCGTTCTTCTGGAGCACAGTGTCCCTTGGCAGAAGGGGAAGGTGTGATGGCCACGGTGGTGCAGTTCCCATGCCCTGAGCTGTCACCTGTGTTCTGGGTTGAGTGGCGCCCTACCCATGGGTGAAGCCAGCGCTGTGGACCTTCAAGAGTCTGACTTGCACAGTGTGGGATTCCGGGCAGCCAAGTGGGCCCTGCTCCTCATTCACCCGCCGTGTGATCTTGTGCAAGGACTTTTCTTTGCCTAGGTCTCTGTTTCCTGTGGCCTCTGAAACTACATCCAGGTTTGTTAATGGCGGTATCACAGCTGAGCCTGTGCTGAGTGCCTGTCACCTTATTTAAGTTATCTTCAGTCTCACACCAGTCCTGTGAAGTGGGTCCTAGAGTTAGCATCCTGCTGAATTGCAGATGAGGAAACTGGGGCCTTGAGAGTATAGGCAACTTGCTGAAGATCCCACGGCTAGACAGTGGCAAAACCTAGACTGCGGCTCCAACCGAAGCCCTGTGCTCTTGGACTTCAGTTCAAGTTGAGAATGAGGCTGCATGGTGCTGGGTAAAGGTGAGTTTATGTTTTAGGTGGGATCAAGAAGTTGCTGGTGTTGGATCTTTGGGCCTAGGGAAATGGCAGGGTCCAAGTTAAGCTTCATTCAAGCAGAAGGGACCACTGTGATGGATTTGTGAGGATACAGACAAACCCCCGCCTGTGTGCCGCGGATCGCCACTGTTGGGAGTTGAGTTCTGGGCACCACAGGTTCCCTGGCTGGGGGGCAGAAAGCCATGATGGCTGTGATGCTGACACCTGCAGTTATGGACGTCTCCCACTGTGTCCATGCATGTCCATGTCCCAGGCTGGCTCTCCCACCCCTGCCCTCTGCCCAGGTGGTCTTCCTCCCTTGGCTGCTCCAGTACCCCAGTGTTACTGCCACCACCTGGGTGTCTGCAGACACAACTGCGATTCAACAGCGTGTTCTGAGAACTATTTGAACGTTGTCGGCGTTTTATCTTTGTTTTCTAAAACTGAGTGGAAGACAGAAATGACCATGACTCCTAGTGCTTCAAAACTGAAGTGCCATCAGCTCATAAAAGAGACAATCAGTTGTGCCCAAGATGCTCGGTCATGGTTTGCCACACTTGACCCGGTCAATGCTGCATAAAATTATGATGGAAAAAGAAAGAAAAGAAACCACAACAACATTGAAAATGGGTGTGAAGTGCTCTAGCACTTTACGTCTTGGACACAAGCATCATGACAGGTCACGTACAGGTCTGAGGAATGCCGGGTGGCAGAAAGAGGCTATAAGTGATCTGTCCTTTGCTCCCGTGACGTGGCGGGCAGACCTCTTGCCTGCTCCCATTCAAGTTCTCCCTCCTCGCTCATCCTTGACTTTTCCATTTCCCTTGTGTGGGAAATGGGGGCCTCTGCGGTGTCACCCCACTTCCTATTTGGTTCTCCTGAATGTTGGTGGGAGATAGAACATTGCAGAGCTGCCGAAGGTGGCCTTTCGAGTAGCCAAACCTGGGCCTGTTGCTGTAGGACTTTTTAGTAAATGAAAGTGTCTGTGTCTATCGCGTGGGCACGTTTCCATGTGGGCTCGTGTCCACATACCTGCGCCTGGCGGGAGTCACCTTCAGCAGCAGGGTGGCATTCACAGGGCCAGGCCGGTGCCCAAAGAAAGATGAGAGGGAGGGGTGGGGACTGTGGAGAAACAGGTCTGTCAGCTCCAGCTGGTTGTCACTCTGGGCCTAGGTATCACTGGGTTTTCTGGTTTTTAAGAGAAGTTGGAAATCCAGCCTTTGTTGAGGGGGGAGAGGGTAAAATCCTTTATTTTTGTAGACTGCGGGTTCTCATCAAAGACCACCACCCAGTTCTGCAGCTTCTAAGCTCACATCAAAAAGGTGGCTGCTGTTTTTACTTTTGGAAGTCTGGAAATTGGAAAAGCTTGGGAACAAAATGACGATAACCAGGGAGCAGCGGAAGTGGACCTGGGAGCAAGGGGGCTACGGAAGGTCACCAGTCATTGTCCCGTGTAGGGTTGCCCGTGCCAGTGTTTCACAGCCGAAATTCGGTGCCGAGTCCTGGGGGTTCTGCGGCACCTGCCCGGATGTTTCCAAGTGCAGGACCTGAGCAGCACTTGGAAAAATTCTGTAAACACGCACTAGAGTCTCAGAGCTGCATCATCCTGACTCTGGTTCCTCTCGGCCCGGGTTTCGAGGCAGCCGAGGAGCGCTCGTGTCAGCTGGTGGGGGCGGCAGACCTTGGCATTGCTCCGTGTCTGCATCTGGGTTCTCTTGAGCACTGGCCTAAGAGTCAGGACCCCAGAAATTTGTCATTTGGTCCTCATGAGACTTCAGGCAGCTCCCTCTGCCCAGGGCCTTCGTCTCTCCTTCTGAACCATAATTTTATGATTCCCGAAAAATTTCATTTGGTCAGCCTTATCTCCCCACTCACCCCCCACTCCCAAATAAAAGAGATTAAGAACTGGGACTCTCTGGCCTTCCCCCTGCTCATGGGTTTGGGGGACAGAATATTTTAACATAATAGGATTTTCCCCCTCTGGTTGGTAGGAATCAATCTGCAGCTACTGTTTTATTGGAAATCCCAGCTGAAAATAAAGATGGTGCAATTCAATCTCAGATTTAACTGGTTACTTACTTTCCACCGAGTCCCCAGGGCTGTGCGGTTGCTTGGTTTGTGTTGGCAGTGGGTGCCAGGCTTAAAGGGACAAGCGAATGGGATGGCGAGGGCTCCTGACTCCCCCTTACCACCAGGGACAGGTTTTCCCAGCCCGAGGAATGGGGCCGGGGCTTGTGGCCCGCTCGCCCCTCTCTCTGAAGCCGGTCTCCAGCGGGAGCTTGGCGGGTGGCAGTGGGTGGACCGGTGTCTTCTGCCTGGCTGATGGAGGTGTTCTGGATTTCTTTTGCAGGCTGACGGAGCCAGTGCAGCCGGAAGGAAAAGCACTGCCAGCAGGTACGACCCCTGCGCCCCAGCCCCTCCTCCTGTCCCCGGTCTTCACGACCAGCAGCCACCACTCTCTGGTCCTTCCGGAAAGGTGGGATGGTCAGACCAGCCCTCTTTGCTGAGAAGTAGCCACAGCTTCCCAGAGGGTGTGAGGGTGTAGACAGCCTTTTCCATGTGCCTTCTGTGGGCCTCCAGGGCTGGAATCCAAGGACGATGCGTTTCTGACTGGCCATTGGCCCCTCCCACGGGGGAGACTTGGGGATGAAGCCCAAGGTGGGGAGCTTGGCTGCTGCAGTGTGGACTCCGGGGTGAGCCGCCCCCTCCCCCCGCATCTGCGTGTGGATCTTGTGCCCTGCGCTGGGGTCATGCGCTTGGGTCCTGTGCTCCTCTCTGCCACTAGGTACCCCAGGTGAGGGCAGTAGGGCACTCCGAGGAGCCAGACCAGGGGTCCAACTTCACCTTTGATGCTGGGAGAAGATGGGGGAGGGTGGCCCTCAAGGAAAGCTGAGCTGTTGTCACCAGAAAGGAGAAGGAGATCCCAAGGGCCTAAGCTGGGGACGGCAACACAGGGGGCCCAGGTAAGCGCCTGGTCAGTGTTGGCACTAGTGCTGCTCCTGTCGCAGTGCGGAGAGCAGAGCTGGAGTGACCAGGTGGCCTTTACTTGGGGCATGGGAGGCAGGAAGAAGGCAGCGGATGGGCAGGGAAGGTGGCTCTCTGGCACGCACGTAGACTCTGGAATGGGCAGATTGTGAATGCCCAGCGGGAAAGCCCTCCCTGTGGCCCAGGGAACAGCAGTGCTCTAAAATGTTCCTAGAGTGTGTGGTGTTGTGTTTTGGGTGGGGGTTGGGGAATTAAGAGTGTTCTTTCTGTGGCCAAATAAATTTGGAGGTCAGTGGGTTGAGCGCAGAATGGAGTGGAGAAAGCACCAGTTCAGTCAAGCACACAGCCACTCTCTCTGGGGACACCAGCTCCAGGCCCCCCCAGTCCTGACTGCAGGTCCCACAAGTGCCTCAGAGTCAAGCAGGTTTCTCTGCAGGGGCTGTTTCAGAGCCTTTAAAGAGCTCATGTTTGGGAGTCCTCAAGCTTCATTAACTGAGGGACACTTCCTGAGGCTCATGCGGTGGAGCAGGTGTTTCTTGGAACACACTTAGGGAATCCACAGATGTGTTTGGCTCTGCGCGCCAGGAAGGTCACTCTGGCAGCATTTTGCAGGGTGGATTGAAGTCCAGGACTCCAGACGCCAGGCCCTTGCCACCCACGGGATGCTGCTGGCCTGGCAGATGTCTTCTGTTTCGAGGCCACGTGGCCTCTGACGTGTCTCAGCTCGGCCAGTGAGTGTGGACGCAGCCAGGGGTGACCCACCCACGTGCACTCGGAAGGATGTCATTTGTCGGTTCTGAGACTGGATCTTGTTAGGTCCGAGGCTGTCCTTGAACTTGCGATCCTCCTGCTTCCTGAGGAGCTGGGGTTATGGGTCCCTGCCACGGTGCCTGGTGGGAATGCTCATTCTGTCTTCCCACGTTGGTGTCCTTTACCTTCCAGCCTGCGATTCCGTCCTCCCTTCAATGACGCTTTCCCCAACCTCCTTTTCAGGGCACGTGCCACCCAGCCTGTGGCCTTTGTCACCTGCCCACACAGCTGAATTATTTGCATGTGAGCGGTTTTCCCCTTCCCTCTGGGAGTGGCAGCTTCCCAGGGCAGGGGCCATGTCTGTCTTGGGCATCGATGTGGGCCTGGACCCTCGTAGGCCTGCAGATGTCTATGGCAACCTAGGTGCCCAGCGTCCTGTGTCCTGGACCCCTGGTGGAGGAGTCCCTAGAGTGGTCAGTGGTGGGTGGAGGCACTTGCTGGACCTGAAGTCAGGACTAGAAGTCCTGAATGGTGTCCCCACCCTGTCACTGTGCTTCTGGAACAGGGGAGGGGCTGCTCAGGGTCCTCAGGGGAGAAAGTGGCTGTGTGCTTGACAGCCGGTGCTTTCTCCACTCGATGGTGGCCTCGGGCCAGGGTCTGGCCCACCACTGTCCTTCCTGCTGTATTCGTTGGGCACTCGCTCTGTGTGCTGTGGACTCCGATGGCCAGATGCTAATGTTTTCACCCAGGAGACGTGTTAAGAGTGTGTGGGTGGTGGGCACAGTGGCGGGTCCATCCCAGTTGTGGGATGTCCTCACCTGACCCTCTGCTGCCTGAGTCTCTCATAGGGGCTCTGCCTGGTGGTGGCGGGCAGAGGACAGCAGGCAGGTTTTCCAGTGTTGCTCGTGGCTGCGTAGAGCTGCCGGATGAGTGTTCCCAGCCCAAGGCTGCAGTCCACGGGGACGAGTGCGGAGGTTGATTAGAGATGCCCGCTGGTCGGGGCAGGGGAAGGGGGCCATGTGTGCCGTCTCTTCTCTGAGGAGCCTGGGCTCTCCACCGCAGGTACATAGTGACTGAACCCGTGTCATTGCCACGGGGCTCTAGTGCCCACCAGGAAGGCAGCACAGACCTGTGGGTTGGGTGTGACAGAAGCGTGAAAGCACAGTTGCCTTGAATGACGACTGTCATTTAGCCTGGCTCCACGTCCAGTTCTGAGCTACGTAGTTTGCACGTGTTCATTCATTTATTTATTGGGTGTTGTCTTCCCAAAGACCCTCCCAGGGAGGTGTTCGCCGCATTCCCACTTTACAGACAGGGAAGGCGAGGCGCAGGGCTCCGCGGGGCTCAGGCTGCTTCCCAGTCTGGCTCCTTGGGTGTGTGGCCTGCACTTCCCTGCTGCCCCCTCCTGCTTGTCCATGTGAAGTCAGCAGGTGACAGAGTTCCAGGACTAGGGCCCGGGGACTGCAAAGGAGGCTGGGCTCTGGGGGTGCTCCCGGGTGAGTACGTTGGGATTGTGGGATTGAAACCAGTAGCATTCTCTGAAAGGCCATCTCTGCGCCCTGAGGAGTGAAGGACACACTGAGGCATCAGGAGAACTGTAGCAGTGGCCCTAGCCTTGCCACTGGTGGCTTTGACGCCCCCGGGTGGCTTTAGACCGGGGGTGCTCTGTAGGGCTTCAGAGCTCGTTTAGTCTCCGTTTCTGATGAGAACTGGAGGTGTGGAGGCTCCCCAAAGTCAGAGTGAGGCTGGAGGGCCACGGGCAGGAGTGACCTGGGAGGACCCCCGCCCGGGCGGGCCTGGCTCCGGCCCTGCCTTGTCGCTCTGTTATTACACCCAGCGCTGCTTTCATCCCGCGCCGCCTTTTGGCCTGGAACACGCAATTTTGTTATTTCTCCAGAGGGCCTCTGGCTGGACCCCAAGACCAACAGCACGGGCTGCGAAGGAATCAGTGTTACATGGAGGGGACAAGGAGAGGTGTGTTCTGGATCTGAAGGACAGCCGAGCGTGGCCTGGTTCACTTCCTGTAACCCAGCCTGGGCGGATTTTACAAGACCAGGGACCCAGCACCCGGGGTCGGGGGTGACCTGGTGTGCAGGTCACAGCTCACATGGCCAGGCGGCCGCCGAGCCTCGCTTACTCCAAGGCCTGGGCCTGGGGCCTCTGCAGAGAGGAGTTCTGAAGGAGTTGCTGCTGTTGCCGTCAGGTTCGTGCAGTTGCAGGCTCCAGGGAGGAAGAGCGATGCCGGCTGTGAGCTGGAGGCCTGGGGCGGAAGGGCTCTGCAGGTTGTCCAATCCCACACTCTGATTTTAGAGATCAGGACACAGGGCAGAGAGGTCACGTGATCCCTTGCTCCCTGGAACATTCTAGCTGCCTAAAGATGAGACAGGATCCTATAGATGGGAGGTTGGAGGGAGAAGATGGTGAAACCAAGTCTCATGCATTCACTTCACGGGTATTTACAGAGGGCCTACTAAGCGCTACGTTCTGCCTTCGGTGCCAGGGATACAGCACTGAACAGAACAGAAAGCCCTGCCCCTGTGGAGTGGTGTCCTGGGGAGGGGGACAGATGATAGAAACACATAAACCATGTACTCGTCCCTGGTCACAGGTGCAGTGTGGGGGGACAGGGAGACCTGGAGCGGGTGCCATCTCTTTAATCTGGGAGGTCGGGAGAGGCATCTCTGGGAGATGTGAGGGACCGAGCTGGGAAGTCTGGGGAAGTGCCTCCTGGGCAGGGAGAACACCGATGCAGGGGACATTCTTTGCCCCCGAGCAAGCGTGAGCACTGCAAGGCCACTGGACACCGTGCGCAGCCTGTGCCATTACTGTGCATGAGATGGGGAGCCGCGGGACATTTTGAGCAGAGAGGTGCCTTGATGTGACTTGGTTTGCAAAGGACCATCTCGGCTGCCGGTAGGCGAATCAACAGCAGGGGCAAGGTGTTCCCAGAGCTGCTGCCTCGGTTCAGGACAGTTGGCAACTGTGACAGGGGCCAGCCGTGAGTGTCTGGAAGGCTGTCTTCAGGCCTGAGGGCTCCGGATTGAAGCCCACGTCCAGAAATGCACAGCCTCCTGTTCCGCCCTAGGATGGCCCAGGCTGGGGTGACCTTCCCTCCAGAGCCCCCACTCCCTGCCCTCTCTGCCTGATCTGCTGAGCGTCTTCCTCACTTCTCCAGCCCTGCTGGGGCCCAAGCAGCTTGGCCCAGAGAGGAAGAGCTCAGACAGCCTGGGTGCAGATCCTGGTGCTGCCCGTGGCCTGGTTGTGTGACCTCGAGTTGGTCACATAGCCTCTCTGCCTGTCAGTTTCCTCATCTGTAAAACAGGGATTGTGTCACTAGGACCACCTTCCCAGTGCTGTCAGAGGACTAAGTCTACTGACAGTGCGTGTACCTGCGCACAGTGCCTGGACCATAGTAGGTGTTCAGTAAACGCTTTCATCACCACCATGCGGGCTGGATTCCTGGGAGAGGGCAGCCATGGGTGACAGTTGGTTTCTCAGGGAGCCTGGACTCAGGGAAGAGAGTGGGGATGGAGCATACTGATTGCATTGCTGTGGCTGCGAGGAAAAGTGCTAGGACGTTGGCTGTTACACTGCCTGAGGTCGGGGCCCCTGGGAATGTGGAGCAGAGAGTGATGATATGTTGGTATGACATCTGCTGT